TCATGGAACTTTCATTTTACTGTGCCAGACAGTAGGTGAGCTACAATAAGTAAGAGTAATGTATTTTCAAAGTGACAAGTGGTAAGAAGGAAGAAAACACACGAAAAAAAAGCAAGGAATGGGGAATTGAAATTCTAGGTGGGAGGCCAAAATTGGATAGATAGGAAGGCCAGGGAGAGCATTACGGAGAACATGGCTTTTGAGTAAAGACCTAAAGGCAATGAGAGAACTGGCCCTGTGCCTGTTCCAGGTAGAGGAACAGGGAATGCTGAGGCCCCAAGGCTCTGGCGGCCTGGCTTGTTCAAGGGGCACTGAGGACAGCAGCATGGCTGGAGCTGAGTAAGCAAGGTAGATAATTTCACAACGTGAGCTCACAGAGGTGATGGGGATGTGGGAGGAGCACATAGCTTAGAGCATTGGAGGCCCGAGAATGGAAATTGGCTTTTATACTGAGTGTGATGGGGAGCCATCTGAGTATTTTTAGCAGAGGTGTGATATGATTTGTTTCATATTTAACAGGATCACTCTGGAAAGTCCAGAGCGTAGTCTGTGTGAGGTACAAGGATGGGAAAAGGGAGGTCAAATATATCAGTGGAACAGAGGAGAGGCCTAGAAATTTATTTGCATGTACTAAACTGGAATTATAATAGTGGTGACATTTCACAGGAATTAGAAAGGTAGTTTTATTCAATAAATGGTGCTGGATTAATCTGTGGTTTCAGAAGCCAAATAACAAACAAATTCGTACATCGCGCATTATGCACAAAATAAATTCCAAGTGGAAAAGAAACCTTAATACTTAAATGGAAAGTAACATCTATAATATATGTAGATTCAATTGGAAGGGAATGTTCACAATTTTTCTTATGGTAATTGGAAAAGTTCTATTTAAAGGGACAAACTACACAGATATTGATGTAAATTATGAAAAATTTGTTTACTTTTAAATATTAACCCCTCTCATTTTAAATATCTTCCTATCAAGTGTGGGGCAAGAAAGATTAGGCTACACATTTTGATAGTTAAATGAATGAAATAAATGAAATTATATTGAATAAGAATGAAACAAGCAGCATAGGGAATTTAGCAAATATATTAACGGACATTTTACTTAATGGATCACCTGGTTAATAAACATGCATTATCTTAATCTACTCTCTATTCCCTTACTCTATCTTTTCCATAATATGTCACCTTCTAACATACTGTATAATTTACTTAGTTAATAAGTTTATTGTTTTTATACTTGTAAGAATATAAACTATGTAATAAGTGATTTTTCCTTCCTTTTTTTTCCACTGATGTATCCCAGATACTTAAAATTGTATCTGGTGCTTAGTGGTTGCTCAGCAATATTTCTTATCTCTATGTGTCTCACCAGTAAGCAGAAAAATTCATATTAAAATGACATACAATTTCATATGCATCATCACAGCAACATAAAGTTCAAAAATGTGTTGTCAACTAGATAAATTAGTGGGGAGTCTATACACTGTTGGTGGGAGTTCAGATCGAGATAAATTTGTGATGATCTAGTGAGTTTGAAGGTGGTATGTTTCCAGCAATTTTACTCTTTTACATTGTTGGAAGACAATTCTGTATGGATCTTTCATGTTTCTGTATGTTTCGTGAATAAGCACTGAATGTTTTTTGTTTGCTACCTTTTGTTTAAGTATGTTTGAATAAAAAACATCTCTGTAAGATGAGATAGTGGTTCCCTCTGTAGCAATGGGCAGAAACGCTTACTGTAGTGTAATGAATACGTCTCCTTCCAGTGCAAAAGGAAAGCATGTTTCCTGCCTATTTTAAGAGATGAGGTTAAACTGAAGTTTTGTTTCCTCTAATGCTATCTACTGTGCACATATGTGTCAGGTGTTCATTTCGCATCATCCTGTGGTAAGTGGGGCTCAGGGATTTAAGATTAAATTGCTGATTGTCTATCACTGTTACTGTGATAATAAACTGCGAAAGAGGAGGAATTGAGGAAGTGGTGGCAGGGAGTAGATTCACAGACAGCCACTGGAACCAAGCATTGTTTGTTGCTAATTCAGCTCTTGGCTTGCAAGGGGGCAGCTTGCTCCTCAATGTGTTCATTAACCTCAGGCTCATTCCTTTGTAACAAATAGTACTAAGATTGATCTGAGTAAGTACAAGTTTTTG